AATATTATTAGTGTATGCACTTCAAAAAGGATTAGATGAATACATTATAACTCAATTTTTGGAGGATATGGATGAACCAATGACAGCAATATCTATAGGAGAAAGCGTATACACAGGAGAAGACTTTTATGGTCACATAGGAAACGATCAGATTGGATATCACAGAAACATGGTGAGTATGGATTTAGAGATAAAAATGATGTTGTAGTGTCTATCTTACACTTTGCTATAGTATATGATATTAAGATAACAAATGCATTTTTTTAAAATAAAACTGGATTAAATAAAAGTCAAATAATTTTTTTTCTAACTGGACAAGTGGATCATAGATTATGTAAAAACTGTAAAATCATTCAAGGAGAAAGCTTACTACACAATATATATAGGATAATGATACTAGATGTATTTATTAAAAATAATGTAAGACATAAAAAAGATTAAATATCCAAGAATTGAATTGTGAAATTTGAAAAATGAAAATATAGATTTATTTAAGAATAAAATACTAAAAGAAGTAGCGTAGAATTTAGAAGATGAAACAAATATAATGTGTAATGCAATGGTAGAACGCATTAAAAAAAAATCTTATGAACTTCTTGGAAAATCCAGAGGTAATGGACTATTAATGAGAGAAATTTTGTGGTGGAATGATGAGTTCTGAGTTGCAGTAAAAACCAAAAGATAGTTCTACAAAACATGCCAAAAAATTAAAAATGAATAAAACTTTAAAAGTTCCAAGCTCACAAATAAAGAGGTAAAAAAAGGAGTTAAATTTGCTAAATTAAGAGAAAAAAAAAATAGAAATGTTAATCATATTAAATGTACAAAGAGTGAAAACTTTAGGTTTTAAGTACAACGAGAAAATTAAATAAAGGTGAAAATTTATTTTGAAAAATTACCAAGTAAGGAAGAAATCATAGAGAAAATACATTTTTTTTCGTAACATTAGGATATTAGAGGTAAACGAGGCATTAAATAAAATAAAGTCAAGAAAAACCTTAAAACCGGATAGTATATCTATTGAGGTTTGAAATTGTACAGGGGATGTTGGGGTATCATTATTAATTAAATTATGCTATATAATTAAAGGGACCAAAAAATGCCTGATGAATGGAGGAGAAGTATCTTAATAGCTAAACTTAAGAATAAAGGAGACATGCAAAATTGCACAAGCTAGCGGGGTATTGAACTAATGAACATACAATAAAACTATGGGGGAGATGATTAAGCAAAGACGAATGACTGAAACAATGGGTATTTTAGAATCAGTTTAAATTTAGAGTAAATTATAGTAATGCCCCTCCTAGTTTCTAGTAGTTTCACTGATCCCTTCTTTTTGAAATAACATTAACATCCCTTGTGTTGTGACAGTAGATAATAATTTCCACCACCATCTAGTTGGTCGTTTGGGTTTTGCTGATGCAGACAAATTTTATAGTATCAATTATTCATTTTTCCCTCATCTTTCCTTCAAGGTTAAGCAACTGTATAATGCGTCCTTCAACACACAAAAATACCCATCCAAACATCTAAAGAAGGAAAAAAAAAAGGGTAGTTGCACCAGCACCACCACTGTTACGCACAACTATCATCCCCTCCACCACAACAAATTCACAAATCAAAATTTATTCCCAAACTCCCATAAAATTATTTCAAATTCCTATCAATTTACCAAAAAAAAAAAGAGCAAAGGTCCACCGCCAGTGCACTTGACACCACGGCTGCTGCCATGTGCACTTACCCTATCATCATCTCCACAGCCACAAATTCAAAAATCAAAACTCATTCACAATTCTTTCAACGAAAATTAACTCAACGCCCGTCAACTTCATGTAAAGAATCATAACTCCACCACTAATGCCACATTACCACTGCGCACACCTTAATCATAACCCATAAATCCAACCCATATCCACCATCTTGGCACCCACAATCTTGCCTACAATGTACCCTTCTTCATAGCCTTAGAAACTTCATCCTTAGATGGCGAAAAGAAAGAGAGTGGCAGTGGATCAAAGGTGGATAAGTACGCTCCGAGGTGGTGTACTGAGGTTAGAGGGTGCAACGATGATAATGGAGGCATATCTCTACTCGTTGGCTATGTGTGTGTACGTAGGAGTGAAAGAGAGAACAGGGATGATGGGGGGAGAGAGAGAGAGAGAGGAAACGAGAAAAGAGACAAAAGTGATGTTATTTAGTTTTGATTGAGGTAATTCAATAGTTGAATTAGGATGTTTGCTAAAGGGATTAGAATTAACCATGTTTAGTATGGTTAGTGTTTTGTTAAATTTGGTTTATTAATTGAAACATATGAGGATAAAATTGGAAACATACAACTTGTGTCAACCAACAATATTAGATTGGGAGTCAATGTAATTATTAAAACAATAAGGGGTGTAGTGAAAATGTCAAAAATTGGAAGGGGTGCCATTAAATTTTACACTTAAATTTATGTCTGGTAGATCAATGATGAGATCTATATATTTACTTCAGAGACTTATAGAGAGATATAGACAAAATAAAAAGACCTTCACATGATTGTTACAGAATTATAGAAGACATAAAGAGTTCTAGAGAACAAAAAGTTATTATTAAGTATATTCATAAATGATTGAGTATACTCACGGACATTGTCAAATCGAAATATTTTAATACGAACATCAAATTATGTCACAATTTCATTATAAAATGTGATAAAGACCTTGGGTAACTCAGATCAATCTTTCATAAAAAATAATCAAGTCATACGAGAGAAATCATTAACAACTATCACAAAATACTAAAAACCAGAAATACTTTTAACTTTCGCAAGATCCCAAATATCTGTATGAACAACATAAAAAAGACTAGACTGACAAGCCTAGTTGAAAAGCTTCGTAGTCTAATAGCATCTCCAACAGATGCTGTAAAAGAACAAAATAACTAAAATTTAGCTAATTAAAGCCAAAATCATCTCCAACAGATGTTTTTCTTATTATGTAAAATACATTTTTGCTACAGTGACACTCTAAATATAGAGTGTCATTGTAGCAATATGTAAACATTTATATATATTATTTTCTCTATCTTCCAATCCTTTCTTCCAAACTCTCTCTTTCTCCCTTTCACTATTTCCAAAAAAAATAATACAAAATGAATGAAAAATAATATTTATAATGAGTAGTTAAAAATATAGAAAATCTCTTGGAATGTGTATTAAAAAAATGAGTAGCTAAAATAGAAAATATTATTTTTTGAGTAGGTAAAATGCATTTTATTGTTGGAGATGCTCTAACACAAAAGAGGAACTCAAATTAAGGATGACTTGACATAATTTCTGAAATGAAAGATGACCAATGTGAAAATGCCACCAAAGAGGAGATACAATTGCACTTTACAGTAAAAAAAGAACTTTCTCGATCAAAGTAATAAAGACTATTGCGCTCATGTCCCATATCAATCACCTTTTTCTTCTTGAGATCCTAAAAATCACAAGATGGAGAGAATGTAACTAAACACTTTAAGACGTTAGTTAATTGACTCATAGATAACAAATTGAAGGAAAAATTAGAACGAACAAACCATTACTAAATGACAAGGACTGAGTAGGACTAAAATCACCAATCTCATGTACCAATTGAAAAGAGCCATCAACTAACACAATACGTGAGTTTGACACATGAAAATTAGAAAATAAAGACGACATACCAGATATATGAACACTAGCTCCTGAATCAATAATCCAAGAAGACAAAGAAGGTGAGTAACCAGGCCAGTTGTGGTACCTCCATTAGCAACATTGGCAGTAGAAGCAGACATATTTAAAGAGTAATAACAATTTTTGAATGAGTTGTGTAAACTGATAAAAAAGATCATCAGGAGAATAAGAATCAAAAGAAACTGAACCACCGCATCCACTATGTCCTCTGGATAGACCTCCACGACTAACATTATAGGGTGAATCACAACAATCTTTCAAAAACGCCATTAAGAAATCCACCGATAAATTATAACTCAACACAAACACCTCAACGAAATCCACACAAATTCGGCAGAATGGTGACAAACAAGCAGAACACCACATTGCCGAAGTCCTTGGACACCAAAAAACCAACTAAAAAAAATAATTCAAGCCAGACGGTCACTGTTCGTTGTCTTCCACCACAGCCCAACCTCTCGGAGCAGCCACAGACTCACACCAAAGGATCAGACCTCACAAGCAACATCTAAACCAACACAGAGGCATAAGAAAACAACCAATCGTAGCCAAGGAACAATTTAGCCACTGCTCAGGCCAATATACAAGAAGTCAACAACCCTTCTTCACCAAAAACAGCTCCGAACATACTCCAGAGAACTGGGCAACGCGTCAAACTCTCCCCAAGGCCAAATCGAAACCCTAGGTGCCATACACAACCAACCAAACCAGAGAACAAAGGCCAAAATTCGTAGATTTGAAAACCTAGGTCTTTTTTCTAAAAGTATTCAAAAATAGAAAACCCTACCTAAATGACTTTAAAAAATTGGCAAAAATTACCGGAAGACTCCTCTCTCCTTAAAGAGTGGACCCATCCCAGCAACTTCTGACAACTGGCTGTTAATATAATGCTGACATCAGCATGACACCTGATTGTTGATGATGTCAGTAATAGATATTCTCCCTTCGCAATGTTCTTCCAATTATATTGTGATTATTGCTATGATACCACATTAGATTAGTGAAGTAATATTAAGGTTAAGAGAGAAGGAACAAAAAAAGAGGAGAGAATAATCAATATGTAATCTATTTCGTCCTACACTCTCTTATTTATAATAAATTGACATTATGAAAATTACAATAACATGTTCATTAACCAGTTCAACATAAAATAAATAAAAAATGCGTTCATTAACAGATACACTTCTATAAACCCAAAGTGCAATTGAGCTGAGGGAAGATTGCGAAAAATTACAATCAAGGGAACAAAAACCTTGTGCAAAGAAAAATGAGGTTAGACTAATTACATATTAAGGGGAACGAATCAGACTCCTCCAGTGTTATTGATATTCTCCAAGGAAATAGCAGCACCAGATCTGGCCTCATCGGACACTGGAGAATGAGACATTAGAATATACATGACCCAGAGATGCAGACATACAAGGTAAACAAAAGACCCGGATCTTGCAGTAGAGTTTCTTTTTAGAAACACAGCACCGGCACAGAAGATTGAATCCAACTGCTGAACCAATGATCCTATATGTTGCTGCCCAGATCGGATTTTCTCTTCAAACAGAGGCCTCAACTTGGAGTTCGAAATATCCCAAATTCCTGACTCTAAGTCATCTCTTGATGAGGGACTGGGAAAATCAGCCGATTTGTTTTCATCCAGCTGCTTCGAAACTGCCTATACAATGTAATTCAAAAGCATTTTAAAATTCAATGTTTCAGCACTGCAGCTGCAGTTTATGGTGCAACACAGATTTCTAGGATGACAATGTACCTCAATTCTGAACAGCAGCATTGCCTTCTCAGAGGAGAGTGCTTCAACCTGACAGGCAAGCAAAATTTAGAGCAGTGGTGTTTTCATATGCCAGTGACACTTGATTGTACTGATTAAACAAGATATTAAGGACTGTACTCCTTGTTGGAAAGTTCATATCACAATCAGGTTAAAAATTTTAAGATCCATTGCCAAGGGGGTGAGAGGTATTCTACTGATAACAAGGTTGCACTCCATTATTTTGATGGAGTCATTAAATGGCAAAGATAGACCAGCAGCTAAGTACTTCACTTCACATTGGTAACTCGTGGTGAAGGTTGTGCATGTTGAAGCGTGGTCTTTTATTTAGGACCCAATCATAATGAAGTGCTAATGTAATGTTCTGTAGCTAAAAATATCATGCAAAGTTCAGTAGTTAAAAGCATAGTTGTTAGTATCGTACAATACGCGATACGTATCGTACGATACGTTACGATACAGCCCTAAAACGATACGGATCGTAGTTATGTATCGTTTTTGCGTTGTATCGTCCGATACACGATACGTTTTTACGATACGATACGTATCGGTACGAAACGCACGATACGTGCAATTTTTTTTTTTTTTTATAAACGACGTCGTTTTGTGCTCTGATTTTTTTTTTTAATCCCTATAACCACTGAAACGATGTCGTTTCAGTGGTTAGGGTTACAAAAAAAAAATCCCTCATTTCTCACATATTTGCCTTCGCTATCGACGACGTCTCTGGTTTCTCTTCAAACATCGACTGTGGCTGGCGATCGCTATAGACTGTCTCTGGTTTCTCTTCAGCCATCGACGACGAGTGGCGATCGCTATGGGTGGTGATCGACTGTGGGTGGTGATCGATTGTGGGTAGTGATCGACTGTGGGTGGTGATCGACTGTGGGTGGCGATCGCTATGGGTGGTGATCGCTGTGGGTAGTGATCGACTGTGGGTGATGATCGACTGTGGGTGGTGAACGTTGTAGGTGGTGATCGCTGTGGGTGGTCTTCGACTGTGTGGGTGGTCTTCGACTGTGTTCGACTGGTCTCCGACTGGGTGGGTGGTCTTCGACTGTGGGTGGTCTTCGACTGTGTTCGACTGGTCTCCGACTGTGTGGGTGGTCTTCGACTGTGGGTGGTCTTCGAGTCTGGGTGGTGATCGATTGTGGGTGGTCTCCAACTGTGGGTGATTGCCGGTCTTCGTCTGTGGGTGATTGCTTGTCTCCGACTGTGGGTGTTGATCGATGTCTTCTTCCTTCTCTAGGTACTCCTTCTTTTTCTTCTTCTTCTTCTTCTTCCCAGTCTCCATTGATCGTTGNGTCTTCTTCCTTCTCTAGGTACTCCTTCTTTTTCTTCTTCTTCTTCTTCTTCCCAGTCTCCATTGATTGTTGGTCCTGTGCAGTATGTAATGATATTAATTTATTTACAAAGCCAAATGTATATAAATTTTTTTGTATAAAAATTTCTGAATCTTGATTAATTTTAATTTTGTGCAACAGTGGCATTACCTGCATCCAATTTTCATATAGAAATGACTAAAAAACTTGATAATGATCCCACATGGGAACATTGTGACAATGTAGAAGGATCAAGGTTGAAATTGAAATGCATTCATTGTGCAAATGTCTATTGGGGAGGCATTTCAAGAATGAAAAATCATTTGGCAAGTAATCGCAAAGATGTAGCAGCGTGTAAGCATTGCCCTGAGGAAGTAACTGAATTTTTTAAGCAATTATTGGATGATAGGGCAATTAGCAAAGATATGAGTCTTGTGGATTCGAAAAGTAGTGGCAGTGTGGGTAGTACTACTGCTGATAAAATACAGCCAACCACCACAATTACTTTGAATACTATGTTGAAGAAAAAGGGTAGGGAAGATGTATGCTTGGATATTTGTAGATGTTTTTATGCTAATGCCCTTCCTTTTAATTTGGTAAAGGATCCATATTTTGTAAGAATGTTAGAATCTGTTGCATCGTTTGGTAAGGGATTGAAACCTCCATCGTATCATGAGGTGAGATGTTCTTTTTTGAAAAAAGAAACAAATTTGATTAATGGTGGGTTGATGGAAAATTATAAAGCAGAGTGGAGAAGGACGGGTTGTACTCTTATGTCTGATGGATGGACTGATGGGAAACATCGCTCTATCACTAATTTTTTAGTGAATAGTCCTAGAGGAAGTGTGTTTCTTAAAAGTATTGATACTTCAGGTATTTGTAAGAATGCGGATAATCTTTTTGAGCTTTTAGATTCAATGGTAGAAGAGATTGGTGAGGATAATGTTGTTCAGGTTGTAACTGATAGTGCATCGGCTTATGTAAAAGCTGGGGAGTTGTTAATGGAAAAGAGGAAAAAGTTGTTTTGGTCTCCTTGCGGTGCACATTGTCTAGATCTCATTTTGACGGATATTGGGGACCTTCCTCTGCACAAGGATATAATGTCAAAGGCAAGGAAAATCACAGTTTACATTTATAGACATTCTTGGGTGTTAAATCTTATGAGAAAGTATACAAAGAAAAGGGATTTGGTGAGAGCTTGTGTGACCAGATTTGCCACCTCATATTTAACTTTAAGGAGTTTATTTGAAAATAAAATTGGGCTTAGAGCAATGTTTGCTTCTGAGGAATGGCAGAGAAGTCAATATTGTAAGAAGGGAGATGGTGTAAAAGTGATGGATATTATACTAGCTGACCAAAATTTTTGGGGATCAATCAAGTATTGCTTGAAGTGTGTGTTGCCATTGGTGAAGGTGTTGAGGCTTGTAGATGGGGATCTAAAGCCTGCCATGGGGTATATTTATGAGGCAATGGACAAGGCAAAGGAACAAATCCAAAAGAATTTTCGTAATGTGAAGAAGCACTATGAGCCCATATGGACTATTGTTGACACTAGATGGAACATGCAATTACACAGACCTCTTCATGCAGCTGCCTATTATCTCAATCCCGCGTAAGACTTAATTTTCTCAATTTTTATATTATTTTATATCTATATATTGTATGTTGATCAAAGATCATTGTAAATCAAAATAATTATTTCAGGTTTCATTACACCGGTAGTGCGGATTATGAGATAAAGATGAGACTATATCAGACTATTCAGAGAATGTGCCCAAGTCCTATTATGAGAGAAAAAGTTGATAAACAATTAGATATCTTTCATAATGCTGATTTGATGTTTGGAATGGACATGGCAATCCAAATGAGGAAGAAGAAACAACCTGGTTAGTGGTAACTTAACTTAAGTTAGTTATTTGAATGCAACTGCTTAAGTTAGTTAATAGAGTATTCTATTGTAATTTTTTATAGCCTTGTGGTGGGAATCATTTGGAGGATGTTGTCCAGAGTTGCAACAACTTGCTATCCGCGTCCTTAGCTTGACTTGTAGTGCCACTGGATGTGAGAGGAATTGGAGTACATTTGACCAGGTGCACTCTAAGAGGAGAAATCGATTAGAGCAACAAAGATTAAGTGCACTTGTGTTTGTGAAGTACAATCTTCGATTGGAGGCAAGACACCAAAAGAGAATACTAGAGGGTGATTCCTATGATCCTATTTCTCTCTCAGATATGGAATCTGATGATGAGTGGATCACTGAAAAAGAAGATGCACTCCTTCCTGAGGACACTACTTGGATGAATGTTGGTGAATGTTTTGAGGTTCAAGAAGGGACTAGCAAAAAGAGAAAGAGAGGTAATTAAAATGTAGTGGTTGTTTTTTCTTCTTCTCCATTACTTTGAATTTTATTTTTTTTATATTTTGTATTGGTTGCTTTGTAGGGCCTAGAAATCTTACTTTATACAAGAAAAAAGGAAAGCAAATAGTTCAACTTGAAGATGAGGATGAGGATGAGGATGAGGATGAGGATGAACAAATACAAGAAGTTGAAGATGATAAAGGAAGTGAAGACTTGTTGGCATCCGATCACAATGATGATGATGATGATGCATTTTCAATTGAAATTGAAGATTGAGTTCAAAATGGATGTTAGAAATTTGGATTAGAAGTCTCTTTGGTGTTTAAAGTTTGAATTAGTGAACTATGGTTGTGAACTTTGCATTATAATAGTAGTGGATTATGTTGATAACTTGAATAGTTGGTGGAGTATTAATGAAATGCTATATTTTTTATGAGTGTATGACTTTTTTTCAAAGGTATATATATTTTTTTATTATTTATTTAAAATTGCATCGTATCTTACGATTCACGATACGATACACGATACGATACAATATTTGTATCTTACGATACGCCTTCTGATACACGATTTGATAACTATGGTGACATCATCCTTCAGCTCGACTATTATGTCATCCTTCTTCTTGACAGCTGTCTTCTGTACCTCGAGCTCACCGCATAGGCTCTCGTTTGCCTCAGTCAGTATAACATATTTCTTCCTAANGCTAAAAGTACCATGTACTCTCTCTCACACAAAAAACCCAAACTCCAACAATCACCAATTTTACAACACCAATGATCCAAACGCAAGACCAAGCACACCCCTCCAAAAACAAACCCCCAAACAACAAAAATCTTTTCTTCTCCTTCGCAGTTCTATTTCTCTCCACAACTCCAGCACCCTCACTACCCTCCAACAACACTGCATTTTGTGACAACATCCTACCAGCTCATTGTCTTCTTTTCTTTCACGTCCTTATTTGTCTTCTTACTACCAGTAACCCCCTTTCCTTCTAGGCTGGAAGAGATACTCCCCCCCTTCTCTCTCTCTCTCACTCACACACACACAAACAAAGAAAAATACCATCTCAATTCTCTCTTACTCCCTATCTTGTATCTTTCTTTCTCTTTCTTCGTCACAAACCCTCAAAAGCTTCATCAACAATCCAAATTCAACTCCTCAAAAATATAAATAAATAAGTAGGAAAAGCCCAAACCAAAGAAAATTCAAGGAAAAGTGTATTTGAGATGCAAATTGAAAATAAACAAAACGAAAAAATGTTCACACACTATACATGTTAAGATGCAAAATAGAAAGATCCAACCCCAAATAGCTTTTAACTGGTCCACAAAACAGCAAGAAGTATAACAACACAATATGTACCAGTTGAAAACTGGTGAGTGCTCAAGTTAATATATCAAAATCTAATAGCTAGTTACAATGATCTTATGGGAATGTTGTGAAGTACGAACTAGTACATTTTATGGACTTCAATAAATAGATTGTACACTTGTTAATGGCATGTACTAGTGTTAGTAGTTCAGTACCTGAGTAACTGAATCATGATGTATTAGTTGATACTTCAAGATGCACTTAGATATCAGTGGGCTGTATAAGTTTACACAAAGTGCATTGTGAAGTATCAACCACATAGGTATAAATTGATGATAACGAATCACTTGAATGACATAAATCTATTAAATTTTCTTTCTTTTTTGTAAAGTATTTGCTCAGATTTGTTATATTTACAATTTGCTAAAGGGCCCACTTAAAACTTCCTTATTCATTTTACTCAAATCACTTTTTTGATTAATTACATCTGCGTGTCTGTGAAGGGAATCTTTTTGTTTTTTTTTTTTTCTGTCGAGAAACTAATTTGCGCGACAAAAATTTCCATGCACTCCAGTGATTACCTACTGCCCATGAAAGATTTTGAAATTCACTTTGATGCCGATATAGTGAGGACGAGGTCGTATGGTGGTCAAACATAATGGGGGTATCATCAGTTTGAGGTGGAGTGGTGATGACAGGGCAAATTATTGTGGAAGTGGTTACCTGAAGATACACAACTTACAGAAAGGGAAAAAAAAAAAAAATGTCATCATGATTGCTGAGAGAGCAAAAGTAAAAGAAAAGGGAAGAGAAGGAGGTGGAAGCTCGCACCGAGAGGGTGATGCAGGACTAAGCCTTGAACAAGGGAATTTATTAAGGCTGTTCTGCACTCACATAATGGTGTGCTAAGGCTTTCATAATATGATTGTGATTAAGGATGCAAGGTAAAGATTTTACGGAGATGTTTAAGTTTGAGTTAGTTGAGGTTTACGGCTGATTTTTGCCCTGAAAGAATGTTAACAAATTACAGAATTTTCTTAGACAGCAAAGAAATCACAAAGATTTAGGCTTATAATGGGGGCTAACCAGGATTAAAGTTTAAGCATAAAGGGTTAACATTCATAAAACAGGTTGGTTGAATGGTTGATTATGGATAATGGAGTCTCACCCTTAAGGAGAGTAAAAATCTGCAGAGAATTTGTATCAACTTGAGTCTTGTCTTTACAAAGACTTCCTTATATGGAAGCGTACCCGAAAAATTTTGAAAACTACAAGTAACAAATGAGACTCTCTAAGCTATTATGAATTACCAAATTCCAATCAAGTAAAGCACTATACAGAACCCACAACCAAACAAATTACAAACCTGGACACTAAACGAAATTATAAGTAAGAAGATACCACTAATCATCCCATGTATAATATTATAAAAGTACCCCTGCTAATGAAAAATTTGGATTGTTCCACACCAATGGAAGCCATGGTCTCTAAAAAGAGGCTTCCACATTGTCTATCAAAACAAAAGGTCTTTTATGGCATTTGACACAGTGGGACTCAGCAGTTCAAAAACAGAGACTGCATAATTTTTTCTTCTTTCTGCGTTCTCCAAGATTATACTCTGATGGTTTAAACACCATAATATGAGAGAGAATGATGGTGACTGAGGTAAATACAAAATAGAGAAGGTTATGGCGATTTCATGACAGAGAAAGTGGTGTATCTTGGATAAGCGGAAAACAACCTTTTTAATTATCTGGGCCTTAGCTTTCTTTTTTAATTATCTAGTTAATGCATCAAGGTGAGCATCTTGGATAAGCGGAAAACAACTGCATTCTCTTCCATACCCATAAGCTTGGTCATTTAAAATGAACAAAATCAGATTTTTTTGCAAATGTTGACCCAATAGCTGTTGATAAAAAATGTGGTAATGAAGATGGGTAAACTGCAGAAGATAAATTCTAATGTGGATTTTTTGTCCTCCAGTTTTACAGATGTAAGATATTTGGTGTCTTTGACTCTTAGATGTATAGTGATCAGGATGTGTTTAGGAGAAATGTCCAAGCCTGATATCTGCTGCTTTATGTACTTGTAAACATTCTACTAATTCTTGTGTACCATGGAGTCCTTCAGCTTCTAATTTTAGAATTGATATGTATTGTCAAACTTGCAAACATGTATGTGCACGCAGGTGGTGTACACATGGACATGCAAATTCATATATCACTTATGTAAATGTATCGATGAGTTTGATATTTTAAAATTGACCACATTAAGCTTCCTTAAAGCTATAAGCCTAGAACCCAGCAGTCGAAGTTCAAAATTTGCAAGACAAACCTGGGCTTGTTTCTGAATCAAATGGTCAGTAAGCTGGCCAAGTCTTTTTTTGAGCTCCACTTCCACTTCAGTTGGATTCTCCATCTCCTTTCTGGTCATCTCAATGCTTGTTTCCAGTGTCTTTGCCTGCATCAAACAAGAAAAATAGTTCCCAGGAACTGCATATCAGATTAATGTATCAAAATCCATATCTTCCTGTCACAGTCACCCCAGTTTTGGCAAGGTGCTATAGCTGGGCTTTGCTATGCCCTGAGCCTAGGTGCGGGCCAAAGCATGCCTTTACCAGCACAGGAAGTACCAAGAATAAAGGATAAAGTGTGTTAATGTCAGTTAAATTAGGACCAGTAGAGTATTCAAATCTCTACCCATGCATGCATGTGAAAGTCTCGTCTAAGTAGTTCATTGCTTGTCTATGGCCAGCTTTAGCCATGTGAACCAAACCTCTCACCGTCATACACCAATCAAGTGATGTAGACATGGATACACAGGGATAGGTGTTGACATATTAAAGTCGAAATTCGTATTGTTGGTGCATTAATAGCACAAATAAGAAATGCAAAAGAAACGGCAAGAGTTACATACTTGACCTTTCTAAGAATTCAAAATAATATAGTAGATTGCGGTACGACTAGTGATTTTTCAAATAGACATAGATGCATAGGGTGTTTGCAACTGACCCTATACCTTTCATTGTCTGAATTGAAGTGACCACAACAGTGAGGGCAACATGATTCTGAACCACATGCCTTTGTCGTGCATTCTCCATGACACATTTCTATGTTGTACAAAACACAAAAATACATTCACTACAAAAGAGGTTATTGGATGCATAATCCTAATGAGCACATGATTCCTAATTATATAACTAAAGGACTACAATCTTGATATGTCTAATTCTCATACACATTTGATCTTAACAATGAAATTGATGAAGGTAGTAGTTTCACATGTGATCCATCTTCTCCCCGTTCGCACCTTTTCAAGTGAACTATAAAGCAGCTATCTCATCAAAAAGTTCCAAACGAAAACATGGAATGATGTATGTGCTTGAGGGGCATATTGAAAACATCAACAGTGGCATTAACAGTGTTGCAGAGGTAATCAAGGTAGGAAACGTGATAGCAGAGAAGTGAATTGCAAAGAAAACAAAGGCACGTTATTATACTGAGACAGAAGTATTTGCTGAGGTGGAATATTGGTGTTCCAGAACAGCTCCAGATGGAATCATTTCTATTCTTGATTAAGAGCCAAGCAAATATGAGAGCATTTGGTGTCCCAGCAGACCGTCGTTTGGAGCTTTTGAGGAAATTGATGCAAGGCTTAAGAAATGTTTGAGGAGTCATGGCAGATTAGTTTAGGAACATAATATTCGGTTTGCTACATTTTTTAATTTCAATTGGTATAATTATAGTTTTTATATGTTTACATGTTGGCAAAACTCTTCAGTGGAATCATAGTCGATAGATGGTTTTTATTTTGTTATAGAAGGAAATGCTTGCTTGGAAGAAGTTGGTGATTTTATTGGGATGAAGTTTTATTGTGTGACAATACATTTTTCTTTTTCTACTTTAATGGGATTAATATTGGGATGAAATTTTATTTGTTGAAGTATATTATGCTTTTACTGCTTGAATTGATTTTGTTGAAGCTTTATTTGTTGGCAGTAGTTAGTGTGTATTTTTCGGTGTATTAGTGTGTGCATATTTTTTTGATGTATGTTTATTAGTGCATTATGTGTTCACAGTGTGTATGTGTGTGTGCATTTTTTTTAATTGTTTTTATTTTTTTAAATAAAAATTAAAAAAATGAATTTAATTTTATGTTATTTGTGTTTGTTTTAACACAGGACGTGTTTACCATAGTGCCATGGCGTATAATATGTACACTGATCTCATATAATCTATAACAAATCCAACGGTCTCAATACAATTCATCCAACGGTCACAAAATTAACACTTTATCTCTCAACATCCAATTTTCTATCTCACCCTCACTCAATGTTAGACGCTTTATTTCTCTCTGTCTTTCTCTGTTAAGCCATCTCCACCGACTCCACCATCGCCTAGCGACACCGCCACCTGCCTCCCTCCCTCCCAAGTATCTCTCTTTCTCTCTCTCACACATACACATACACATACACATACAGACACGGACAACCCCCACCCCTACCTCCTTTGCGCAACCCACCCCCACCTCTGCCTCTCTCACACACACACCCCCCCACTGTTTCTCTCTCTTTCTCTCATATACACACACACAGAGTTAACGAACCCCCCCCCCCAAGTCTCCCCCTTCACCGTCATCATCATCTTCGTTGCGATCAAAGCCCTTCGCTTGTGATCAAACCTCCTAGCTTCTAATTAGGGGTTAGGGTTTTGTTAATGCTAGCCAGTGGCTTCTAATCCCTCTCAGTCTATGATTTACAACTGATCAGTCATTGTACATAAGTTTTGTTGAGAATTTTGATCAATATTTTATCCAAGCCCTACACTTGTTTTAACTTCTGCCTTCACCTTTTAATTCTCCACAACCACCTCCTCGACCACCACTACCATACCTGCAAATTCACAAACCATGCTTATCCTTCATTTACGCACACAATGATGAAAATGTACATATGAGATCCTTATATTTGCTACAAATTAAGGTTTTTATAGACATTTGATTGTCATATATGGGGAGTGTATTGTCTGAAGATGGATTCGATAGACAGAATGAGAGATGTGAAAGTTACAGTTTGAGTGCGGATGTGAGCGAGTTGGAGAGTTCAAGTAGCTTCTTGTGTTGGCGCTCTATGATGGCGAAGGTGTGTCGAGCTCTATGGTGTCGTCTCCACTCGCTTGTGGTCAATTGACTGATAATTCCACTTTTTCGGCTCCAATGCTGCCGCCTTTGATGTTTTCGGTTATTGGTGGGAAAGATGTGGTGGTTTGGGATAAGAAGCTTGATAAACGCGAGACCAAGTTATGTGCTTCTATTTCACTGATTTTGCTGTCAACTTGGTGTGTTTGTTCAAGTAAATTTATGGTCAATGATTTCTTTTCAAGCTTCAAGCATTGAATAGGTTGTACTTTGCATCATTTCACCAGTAATAGTCGTTTCTTATCTGCTTATTAATATCTTTCTTCATTTGAAATGGTAGCCACTGTATTTGGGGAGCTATCGAGGTTATGCCATTGGCACCATAGACGAGGGTAATGTGGTGCAGAGAGATGGAGTGGCTCTTATGTGTGTGATTCCATTGTAGAACTTGTGCCTTCCATACAACAATTCCCCCGTGGAGGCACATATGAAGTAATGGTGACAAGGCCGCGGTTAGATTTGTATATGAATCTCCCTGCACTCAAAAAGCTTGATGCTATGTTAATTAGTATCGCCTCTTTGTCTCCCCTACAGACCCTCTCTCCGTCTCACTCTCTCTCTCTCTCTCTCTCTCTCTCTGTGTGTTATGCCATCTCCAGTGACACCATCATCTTCAGCGGGACCACCACAGGCACACCCCTTCCAAGTATCCCTTTTCTTTGCTTCTCTCTCCCTCTCACACACCCCTTTTTCTTTGTCTCTCTCTCTCTCCTCATTCCCCCTCTTCTGCCCTAATTCCCGCCTCCTCTTTCTCTCATTTTTTCAATGCAAATTCATACATGCCTTACACCATTGTTGGCTCGCTACTCTGGTTAGGTAATCATCTGTCCTCTTTCTCCCTTTGCTCTTTTTCCTCTTTGATTCTTATCTCTCTCAACACCGCAGTCCACTAACGCACAACACTGCCAAATTGTTTGTATGTACCCACAACCCCATTCCCTTTGTCAAACCACTTCACAGCCATTCTATTGCCACCAACTAAAACCACCAACCATAGCGACCCCCTAACCCAATTGTCTACCACCCCCACCCCCTTCATCAGACCATAGCCAACCCCAGCCACCACAGAGCACGACACCCTTCTCACACATTAACTATTTGTAATATGCCTCATAAACTTTGTAAGTTTTTATTTGAATTTATATGAGTGAATGGCTTTGGATCACACTGGGCACACACCCAACACCTCCCCCTCTAATTCGATTTTGATTTCAATGTCTGGATTGCAATTAAGATTCTTCTTTAACGCTAGATTTTTTGGATATATGTTAAATTAGTTCTCTATCATACCTTGATTAATATTTTGGATGAAATTATTGATTATATTTTGTCGAAATAGGCATGATATTGATTCATGGGTTATTCTATTTATAGGAATGCATTGTTGTGATATTATTCATTTGGACCCAAATTGAATCCTTTTGTATGTACAAATTTGTTGTAATGGTAATATTTATTTGTCATTCCATTTGAGTTTAAACTATTGTTGTAGCTAGATGCTATGATGTTTATTTTCTAGAGTTGCATTGACCGGAGTTGTTGGTACAGTAATCTAAATTCATCCTCCCTAGCTAGCTATGGTGCGACATGATATGCGATAGCATGGGGTTGGGTTGGAACATTCTCAATCTCCAAAGGTATCAATTTGTTCTATGTAACATAGTAAGCTCTTATTTGTTGTATTGATTTTTTAATCCCAATTTGGTGTTCTTACATCTTGACTTGTTCTTGAGTTGGTGCGCTTAATTTTTTTGCTTGGTGTCTTCATAGCCCTAACGGATTTTTTTCACTATTGAATTTGTTGACTTTCTTTGATTGTCGGTGATCATACACTATTAACTACAGAATAAATGATCAGGCTCTTACAGATTAGCTTTCTCACTTTTTTTGAATTAATTGATTTGACCCAGGTATTGGTTAATAAATGGCGATCTCCTGATATATAATGTGGTATGGTGTTTTTTTGGTATGAAACATTATTTTCATACCATTATTTTTATGGTTAATTAATCATTAGCTAATACGGATAATTATTGAACCAATTTTTTTTGTAAAAAAATCCAAAGTCAGTTAATTAATTATAATTTATATTGCTAATTGGTGCACTTTTAGTAACTATTTTTCTGTTTTATAAGGGTTTTGTGGGCAGATGTCAATTTGTTCGAAAATTCTTATTATTTAGGAGGATGACTAGACGTATGTTTCATACATAAATCTTTATCTTTTCATGTTTTTTGGAAGGTGGGCAGTTGATATTTTTTTTTTCATGCTCTAATATGCCTGATTCTCAGGTAGGTTAGTTGATATTTCTTTTTTCAATTTTCTATTTAAGGGAATTATTTTGATTACTTTGGAGTATCTTTTTTAAATTAATTCGAGAGAATTATGGAGAATTTGGTGGGGTTTTAAATACTTTTTCAAAAAAATCCCTCAAAAGTTACCGATTTTTTTGATTTTTAATGGAAATTTTTTTTGGGAGTGGATACGTGTGATGCTTGGGTGGAATGAAATATGAGCAGTGTGTGGGGGAATTTGTAGTGGGGACAAACCAACTTTAACTAGATGTAATATGTTGGTAAATAGTTGTGTTGT